GAAAAATCAATAAAATATGATATGAATTTTGTATATCTATATGTTATTCCTTCTTTCAGTCAGACCTTTGAATTGCTGCTATCTTTAGGACATTAACAAGATCATTAATTTCTCCACATCTTAGTTTCTTTTTCTGTTAAATGTGGTGGTTTTAAAGATCAAATAATTTACTGTACGTGCATGGCACATAGTAAGTATTCCATAAATATCAACCATTATGATTATTGGATACTAGTGACTTTTAATTTCAGTCTTAGATAGGATAATTCTGTGTTTTTAAGGCAGCATAAATGTCAGTGTAAAAATTATATTTTTATAATCGTTATTGAAATGTTTTACTCTTGCCAAATACAATATACTTTTCAATTTGAAATGATACTTCCTATTGCCTTTAGTTTTAAATCACTTGGTGTTAAAAGTGTAGCTAGTCAATGTTTTTGTAATGCCTGCTGTAATGCCTACACTCCAAAATTCTTTGGGAGATTTAAACATTAAAAAACACCTTCAATTCCCTAAACCATTTAGAATTTGTTGGCAGAGACAGGTACATTAACAAGTTAACTTTATTACAAAGCAGAGTGAGAAAAGTGCTTTAAAAGAAAAATAGATTAAAATGTTCAGGAAAACAGACAAGATATATAATAGGCTGTACTGTTAGAATACATAGAAACGTCAGATATTAGTAGAATTTTGGTTCAGGAAGAACATTTCAGGCAGAGGAAAAGATGGAAGTAAATGCATTGACACATGAATATGCATAACATACACAGAAACATTTGACTCATGAGGGAGGAACCTCCAAAGGTTAGGGCACATCTCAAGACTGGTCAAATCCAGGTGTGAAAGAATGAGGGCAGGAATATTAAGCTCATGACAAGCAAGTGGGGATGGAGAGGTGGAGGCAGGTAAGGGAAACTGTAGAGGCAGATGTAGTAGGTTTTCATAACTAATTGAATGTGAAGATAAAAGATCACCCTGCTTCTCAGGTGGCATTAGAGGTAAAGAACCCTCCTGCCAATACAGGAGACATAAGAAATGAGTGTTCGACCCCTGGATCTGGAAGATCCCCTTGAGGAGGAAGCAGCAACCCACTCCACTATTCTTGCCTGGAGAATCCCATAGACAGAGGAGCCTGACAGCTTGCGGTCGATAGGGTCGTGAAGAGTCACACATGACTGAAGCAACTTAGCACACAAGCACATGCCTGAAATAATGATAAAGTTGTTACCAAGAAAGGAACAAAGGAGATTTGGTGTATCCATGTCAACTTTAGCCATGTTAAGTTTAAAAATCACTCATAGGATTTTTTGGTGAAGACATTTGAGAGTAGAAAAACTGGGTTTGGTATTCAGGAGAGTGGTCAGTCATCAGTAACTTGAGTGTAATTGACATAGAAGTGATAGTGATGCTTTACAAATAAATGAAGTTTAATTTAAAAAAAACTATTTTGATGGTTAAAATTACTGGTCAGAAACTACCTAAAAAAGAATAAATGAATTAAGGTTCATCAATAATTCCAGCAACCTATATACTATAGGGGGCTTCCCTGGTGGGTCAGCTGGTGAAGAATACGCCTGCAATGCAGGAAACCCCGGCTCAATTCCTGGATTCGGAAGTTCCCCTGGAGAAGAGATAGGCTACCCACTCCAGTATTCTGGCTTCCCTGGTGGCTCAGATGGTAAAGAATCTGCCTGCAACATGGGAGACCTGGGTTTAATCCCTGGGTTGGGAAGATCCCCTGGAGGAGGGCATGGCAAACTCACTCCAGTATTCTTGTCTGGAGAATCCCCATGGACAGAGGAACCTGGTGGGCTACAGTCCATGGGGTCACAAAGAGTCAGACATGAGTGAGTGACCAAGCACAGCACAGCATACACTGTAGATAAATTTACTTTTTGAAAATTGGTTTAATTCTTAAGGTCGTATTATTATTTCAATTGCTGCTTAATGGTTCATGAGTTCTTATTTATTTGTGTGTGTTTTATTTGTAATTAATGATTTTAAACTTTTAAAAAACTTTTTTCTTTTATATTGGAGTAGAGTTGATTAACAATTTTGTGTTAGTTTCAGGTGTATAGCAAAGTGATTCAATTATACATACACATGTTATCTATCAATATTATTTTCATTTGTTTCCTTCTGTCTCTTATCTATCTTCCTCCATTCCTTCACACTAAATTTCTTTGTTCTTTCTGATTCCTTTTGACTTTCATCTTCTAATGTAATAAGAAATGATTTTCTAATTTTTGGGCTGTTAGTCCATGACATTCTATATGATTAACTAAAATGCTTTGAAAGTCAGTTATGGAAATATGGAAATGTATTAACATGTTTTTGAATGATGCCTCTGGAAACCTACAATCTAAAACCCTAGCCAAATTTACACTGAGGAGATAGCTCTATTTCTGGATAAGCACAACCTAGCTTTTCTCCTTAGAGATAACATATACTCAACAAACATGCATTGTGTACTATGGTCCAGATACTAAGGATTTAAACTGAAGAGCACACAGTCATCTTATACAAGCAGCTCACAATGTAATGGCCTTCCATGACAGAATTTGCTTTAAACTGTTTTCTTCCCTAGGGTCCTCATTTCAGGCTTTGGTGTTTGCCAAACCATTGTATGCAAATGTATTTGACTCAACAATCAAAATAGTTTTCAATTTATCATCTGTGGTTTGCTGCTTGTTTGGTCAGATTATTTGAAATAAATGACCATACTTTATGTTTTAAATGATTCAGTAAGTATAACCTTATACAACTCAGAGATCATGAAAATGATCAACACGTAGAAATTTAAATTCTTGAAAGTTTTCTTCTTGTATCTTTTTATCTTCACCACAGTATTTCTGGAGTTTCTTCTTTGGTGCCTGATATTACTTATTTACTGGCTTTCTGTTGGATCATCTAAACCATCATTTAAAATCATTGTGCTGGAATTTCAGAAATAGAGATGAGATTCTGACATCTCTGCATTTTTGAAATCTTTACCAGAAATAAAGTAGGTGTGCAGAAAAACAGGTTTTTCTTTTTTCAAAAAAGTCAATGTGAAATGTGCAGAACAGAGCTTCTTGTTTTCCTTCAGCTTTTGTAGGTCCTGGAGGCAAAGATGCAGTAGTGCTTATTGTGATCAATAGAAAGTGGTGTCTGGGAACACAGATTCCTGCCAGGGTGAAGTTCTCAGGCCCTTACATTTGTACTTGGCCATGTGCACCTAAGAGTCTTTTCTCACTAAGAGTCTCTCCCCTGCAGCTACCAGTGGTAGGGAACATTGATTCAGGCATTACCCCCTCATCTGATTTTAAAAAGTGTAAGGATTTAAAATATTGCATTTAATTTATAACTGTTATATTAAAAAATCTTTTAATATATTTTTTTTCTTTTATTTTCCTTTTAAATCCTTTGGATTTGAGGATAGCCACAAAGAAAATGAGCAGAAAGAAAAATTATGAGAAACTATAATAGTTTGTAACTTTCTTAAAATACATAAAACTGGAGAATCACTGATTATGCTGTGAAATGATACTTGGGAAGAAAATCACTTTTCACATCAGGGTACTAATCCCTGCTACCGGAAAACCTCGTTATTAGTAGTTAATTTTAGCCAAGTTGTGGCGTTGTTTCTCTGCCCATCTAAGAAAGACCTCATCCTTTTTCTGTCCCCGCCACTACCACCCCCAGCCCCGAACAACAAGCTTTTGCTTGGCTATAAAATTTGAGAATGGATTTGAGGATGCTCACTAGACTACAACTAACTTTTCATTTCCACCCCTCCTCCAGCTTGCTACATGTTTCTCTCTGTTACTAATTAGTATAATATTCCCTGTCATTTTGAACTTGGGCTTCTCTGATGGCGCAAGTGGTAAAGAGTCTGCCTGCTAATGCAGGAGATGTAAGAGATATGGGTACAATCCCTGGGTTGGGAAGATCCCCTGGAGAAGGAAATAGCAACTCACTCCATGATTCTTGCCTGAAAAATTTCATGAACAGGGGAGCCTGGTGGGCTACAGTCCATAAGTTCACAGAGTTGGACATGACTGAGCACATAGCACAGCATATTTTGAACTTGAATTTGATCGTGCTTTGGTGAGATATATACTAAATTTTTTTTTTTAATTAGAAAGTCAAGGTGGTATATTTAAGAGAGAACAGGATTTAAAGCCAGGAGGCCTAGTTTCCTCTTCCATCAATTCCATTTGCTGTCTGTATGACCATGACCACATATTTTAAACTTTCTGAATATCAATTATCTTTTAAAAAATATGAATCATAATAATTATTCTCTTGCTTCCATCATAGAATTATTGAATGGATCAAAAGACAATATGTAAATGCATTTAGTAACCATATGGAAATTATTGTTAATACTGTTAGAAAGAATACTTTAGACTATATGCAGAATTTGGGATTTGAATTTTAGCTCACGTTTAATTGTATATTATTCATAGAGAAAATGGCAAGAAGAAAGGAAATTAATTAATGTAATGATAAAATTACAGAGAAAACATTTTGACTGAAAAAGGACCATTTTTAAGGACTTTGCCACATTAATTACTACTTATACATAATGCTACTAAATCTAAATAATTTCTAGTTGAAATAATGCTTGAATATAATTTCATACATCAGTTTTTAGTGTAAGAAATCTAAACAAGAGTGGAATAAAGCTTAATTTAAGATATTAGAAACTTTATTTGTTTGTTTATGGTTTGTTAATTTCTTTTGTTGGCCATTTGTTTCATTGTTCTCTAACTTACCAGCAGAAGGACTCAAGAGACAAGAAGTTAATTCTTGAATTGTTTCCATTTCTGATGAAAATAACAGTGAATTTAAGATAACTAATGTAAAAAAATTCTAAAGACTTCCATTTCCTTGTCTGTAATAATGATTAGTCCTTCTAAAAATTCATTTACTTAGTATTTCATGATTATAGTTCCTGGAATACGGGATGTGAATGGTTTGAGATGTTTGTTAAAATGTACTTTGCTTAGACTTACTGAATCATAATCTTTGGAAATGGTGGCAAGAATACCATCATCTTTCACGAAAGGCAGGATTTCCTCCTTTGTAAAGGTTGAATAATACTCCACTGTATATACGAACCACATTTTCTTTATCCATTTGTCTGTCCATGGACACGTGGTGCTGCTGTATTAACACTGTGCCTTTAGTTGACAGTCTTGTGTTGTACACTTAAAACTTCTCAGATGAGGGGAACTCATGTTCAACCTTTTTACTGCAAAACAAAACCAGAAAAGCACAAGCAAACTTTTGAAAGTGATGGATATGTCTATTAGTCAATTGCAATGATGGTTTCACAGGTGTTTGCCCATTCCAAACTTAGCACATTTCATATATTAAATATGTGTGGGATTTTATAGGCCAATTATACCCCAACAAAACATAAAAATATATCAACATTTGCAATACAAATGTTTATAAACCCAGTGTGTGTGTATATGTGCCCCATTTTTATTCCCATGCTCATGCAACCTGGAAAAGCACTAATAGAGGGTTGTGGGCATCACATATTATTAATTTAAAGCTTCAAAAACACAAATCATTTTTAAAATTTCATCATTGTAACTGATGAGTTTAAAATTAGGTCAGCTAATGGTAACAAAGAAAGTGTGTTACAAATTAATCTTTGTTTTAATGTGTTAACTATTTGCATTTGAGCACACTTGATAATTGAGCAAGATTCACATAGATTATAACTGTTTGAAATGATCTCTACAATCACATTATACTTATCACCTCACAGGAGGCATGGGCTGACTTGTGTCTTGGAGTTAAAGGTCATAAAAGAAGGGCATCCCATCTGGCTGGACCAGGCTCTGTTGGATACTTGCCAGCTAAGTGAAGGCCAAGGTATGAGACTCTTCTGCAAAGTGGCAGTGCCCTTTCTCAGTCAATTTCTGAGGCAGGATTGAGGCCATGTGTGAGCCCCATTGTATATGCCAACTGGCTTTGTCTCAGCTGTCTCAGAAACTGAGATTGCAACAGATGTATGTGAAAGATTTGAGATCTTTCTTCTCTTTTAATTTTCAGCTATTGCTTTCCCTCTGAGCACTACTTTCACTGCATCCATAAGTTTCCATATGTTGCATTTTCATTTTCCTTTGTGGAGGAAGTCAGGAAGAAAGAATATGTGTTCATCTTGGACTGTATTGAGTTGAGGTATCTGTGAGACAGGTGCTGATTAGGGAAATATATTTGTACCTTGAATTCAGGAAAAGGTATTGACTTCAGTTACGGATTTGGGAATAATTCACATAGAGTTAGAAGTTGTATCGGTAGAGATTAATTAAACCCATGTCAGTCACCAAGAGGTGGAAAGTATACACTGAAAGGGGAAAGTCTCTTAAGAATGCCACTATCTGAAAATTGGTTAGGGGAGAAGCCAGCAAAAGAGGCTGAGGAGATGATAAAGAACTCGGAGTGGGGATCGAAGGAAAACAAATAGTGTTTCCACAAAGAAGTGGAACATTTTAATAAAAGATGCAAAGGTGCTAAGATGTTGAGAGATAGAAATAGTGAAAAGTGCCCTCAGGATGTGATGACTTGGGGTAAATGGTAATCTTAGAGGATAAAATGGAGGGATGTGACTGGATTGGATAGTTGGAGATACTAAGGCAGACACTGGTTTGAGAGGTTTAATTGTAAAGGATAAAAGAGGCATAAGGTGGCAGCAGATTAGTAACTTAAGGTTGAAGAAAAGTTTCTTTTTTATGGAGTGACTTCAAAAAATTTAAAGTTGACAGAAAGAAGCAATATAAAGGGAAAGGAAGAGATTTAAGGGGACAAGGGATAATCAATATCCTATCATTCCTAACAAAAATATGAATTTTTTATTGCCTTGAAGGGTGGTTTGTTTTTTTAAGCACATGTGTCATTTCTTTAGCTCAATATTCTTTTTTTTGGAATAGGTCATTATCCTGTTTGGATTTCATGCTGTCAATCCCCAAATTCACCCCGTGCCACACACACATATACACACACACTGCAAACACACACACACACACACACACACACACACATATTCTCTAATGGTGATGGTACATAATTGATATTTCATAAATATTTTCTTATCGCGTGATAGTTTAAAATATTTCAAGGTCAGTGACCTAGAAAAGGCATTTCTCAGCAACTCCTCCAATAGCTTTCTTCTCTATTGTAATAGAAAATGATAAGCCGTGTTCTCATTCTCTCGTTAGTATTCAGTAGCAATAGATGAATGCTAAATCCTCACTGAATAATTTAACTCAAAATGTTTACCTTTTGATGTTCAAGTAAGGCATGACTGGAAAACACTGTGTACTGAATCTATTCTCAGAAGGTATCAGTTTAGTTTATTTAACACTTTAAACGCCAGGTGAAACCCTGAGAAACAGAACAAAAAGCTTCTGAGAAAGTTTCAGCTTCCTGAGATACATTTACACCCCTCTCCCTGGCCTTCTCTCCCCTCACCTCATCTCCATTTTACACTTGCGATTGAAAACCTAACTGAGGATTCCTGGGCCACTATCTTTGTTCTTTTCCTGGGCTCAAATATTAATGGTCAAGAGGTTTGTATTGTATATATATATATTAGCTTCAGCTATATGGGACTTCCCTGGTGGCTCAGAAGGTGAAAAATCTGCCTGCAATGCAGAAGACCCAGTTTTGACTCCTGAGTTGGGAAGATCCCCTGGAGAAGGAAAGGGCAACTCATTCCAGTGTTCTTGCCTGGAAATCCCATGGACAGAGGAGCCTGGAGAGCTACAGTCCATGGGATCACAAAGAGTTGGATACGACTGAGCAACTAACTCACACGTAATGTTTAAGACCTTACAATTTCCTGGGCTCTAGGACTCACAAAGGAGGTATTGACAGAGGCGTGGCAATTAGTAGGAAGAAGGTTGAACCGAAACAAACCAGGGTTCAAACTCTGCCTTTGCCATTTAAAAACTCCCAGTTGGACAAGACACTTAAGTGAGCCACCAGGTCCTTGTTTTTAAAGCCAGAGTTTACTTACCAAGCTCTCTATTGTCAGGGTTAAAGATACTAATAAATGGGGTGGCATACTGTGAGCCCACAGTGAGTGGGTGCATTTTGCTGTAGTCAGTTTCTTTTGGAGCAAAGTTTCTTTTGTCTTGTTCCCACCTTCACCTTCAGCAGGAAAACTGTGGGATTTCAATTCCTTCTCTCTCCTCAATTTCTTGTATGAGCCAATTTTTGCTCAAACCTGTGATGTGCTGTGCGGGGAGGCCCTGGACCATTTTTCTTGTTCTTATGTCTGGTGATAAATGGAACACATGATTGAGATTCACTGACTATAATTATGGCAGCTTTCCTCGGCAGCTGAGCGTCTTCTGCTCTTTTATGTCTTAGAAAGGCATATTTATTAATATTTAACTTTTATGTATGTGCCTACCTAGTGGTGTGTATAGTACAGATAACACAAAAATACCCAGTCTTTGGGCTTCAGAAGCTAAGATGATGGACAGCTGTATTCATGGCCTTGAGGGGCAAAAAATAGAAAGCGGCTGTATGCAGGCAGGGGTGCCACTCTCTGACCCAGCCTGCTTCCTTTCCCCTGTCCTATATAGACTCAGTCTGCTTCACGCGCACCTGCGAGGTTCCAGGAGCTCTGGAAGGGAGAACGTGGTCAGCACACAGTGCAGCATGCTGGCCTGCAGGGTTTCCAGGCTGCGAACTCAGAGGCAGAGGTCAGGTTAAGTTTTCTCCCACCTGTGATTCCTAAGAGACAGAACTCAACTGGGCAGCAGGTTAGGGCACCTGCCAGGATTCCAGAATCAGGCAGTCTCCATGAAGCAACTAAATAGAAGGTAGAGAAGACAGGAGTCAGAGTTGAGGGCTCTTGGGGACTTCAAGACAAGTCTGACTCCTAACAGCCTGGCTGTGGAACCGGGCCAAGAGCTATTGAGGACTCGTCGCTTAGCAACAGGACACCAGCTAATAAAGGCGAGTTGGAGGCTTTTTAGTTTCCCAGACTGCAGGTAATTTTTCTAGGGGGAGCCTGGAAAGCATGTGCTTGTATCTTTTTCTTCTGTGGAGTCTAGCATTTGTTCAGCCCGTCAATGGGGCAACAGAATGTCGTGAGTTCTCCCTGTATGCAGTGAGATCTGGGGGTTCTGTCTCTTCAGCAGTGTGAGCACAGATACTATATTTAAATTAGAAAGCTCAGGGGTAAGATGGTGAGCGCCACTTAATGCAAAGTAGCAGCAGCCACTGCATACATTTCTGAAATAAGAAGGCAGATGGAGACTAGCAGCTGTGATAAGAGAGCAGTAAATAAAACATCAGCTGGAGTTCTAAAAAGAAATATCAAAGACTGATGGCATCTTCTACTTAGGAAACATTTATAATTCCTAGGTTTCCTTGTCTTGTGATGATCAACATGTTGTCAAAAACCAGGTTAGGAGAACTGCAGTGAAAAATATGGGGAGTCAGCCGTGCTCCCTTCTGTCATGTCTGACTCTTTGCGACCCTGAGGTCTGTAGCCTATGGGATTCTCCATGCAAGAATACTAGAATGGGTTGCCATACCTTCCTCCAGGGGATCTTCCCAACCCAGGGACTGAACCCGTGTCTCCTTATGTCTCCTGCATTGGCAGGCAAGTTCTTTACCACTAGCACCACCTGGGAAACCCCTCTAACCTGAGAGCTGTACATAGGCAAATAGGTACCAGGTCGTGATCAGAAAGAAAACTGAAAGAAAGCACTTAAACGTTTTTAGCAATCTGATAGAGTAACTTTATGTCTGTTGAATCTAATGTGTAAAAAGAATCAGGCCTTATATTTTTGTCTTTTTGACTTATATTAATAGTAATTCATTTTCATTGTATTAAAAGAATTAGTCCATATGGATTGAGAATTAAAATCAAACAAACATAGAAATTAAAAAAACCCTGCTCTAGACCAGGGGTCAGCATGCTTTTTATTCTTAATTTATTTGCCCACACTCTTCAACATGTGGAATCTTAGTTTCTCAACCAGAGATCACACCTGCACCCCCCTGCAATGGGAGCATATAGTCTGAACCACTGGACCTCTAGGGAAGCCCTCAACATGCTTTTAAAATAAAGTCTGGATACTAAGTATTTTAGGAATTTTAAAACTGTACAGTTTCATCACAACTAGTAACTCAGTTGTTAAAGGGCAAAAGCAGTCACAAAAGACAATACATAAATGATTTGTCAGAGTTCCTGAAAGGACAAGTACTGGGACTTCACCACGCCTACAGATCAGACTGTATGACACTTTTTGTGTCTGCTGGCTAGTAAATATTTCTGTAAAGGGCAAGATGCAGTATAAAGACTTACTTTGC